ATGCGCTAGATCACCTCGGTATCATTAGCAGATGATACGTGCTTATTTACCTCTATTTCCTGAAAACCAGTTCCGATGTTTGCACCAGGGTCACGAATAGAATCCGATCTTTTAAAAGCAGAAGTATCCGGGTTTGGAATCAAGTCCTTTTCTGTAAAACCTGCACTATGAGACGCACACATGGTTTGCGAAGTGGGCGAATTTTCTTGCAATACTGGAGTAAACTGCTTAAGCTGCACATCAGCTTCTCCCATCTCTGCATCACATGCACTTTCAGATGGTTCAACACTTACTGCCTGCGACTTCGTAACTTCACTATCAGTTTTGACGAACTTAACAGTTCTATTTTCATTTTCTTCCACTTCAAGCACTTGAGAATCAAAATCTACTTTCCCGTCTTTTATTTCTTTATGTTTTCATTCTTTATCTTTAATCCCATTAGTTGTTTCATCTTTCATTTCTTGATCTTCCTCAGACAGTTCATTAGCTACTTTCTTCATCCTTTGATTCTTCAGAAGTCACTTCTCTCCTTTCCACATCATCTTTGATGGCTCTAGTTTTTTCTGTAAGCTCCACTGTCATCTGTCGGAGTTGCTCTCGCACCTTTTCTTGGCCGACATTTAATTCTTCTCGTCAGGTGTTCTTCTCTTCCAGTGTAGCTTTCATCTCCTTCAGTCCGGCTTTCAACTCAGCCCTGATTTCTTGATATCCGGCTTTCATTTCAGCTCTCATCTCTTGATATCCGGCTTTTATCTCAGCCCTCATCTCGGCTAAGAAGTCTATCAAAGTCTTCATTTCCTCCACCATGGTTTTTTCTCTTCAAGGCGGGTCACTGGCATTCACTCTCAAACCCCACTCCTGACACCAAACGTTACGTAATTTCTCTTTCTTCTGATTATTCTGACACCAGTTGTTACGTTATTTTCTTCCTTCACGTTCGTATGGGGTCGTAGGTTTGGAGAGAATAACGACACTTGATTAAGTATCGAAACACACTTTATTTAGCCAATATTAATCAGGATGGCTCGAAAACACTTTTACAGTCGTCGAAGATCTACTATAAACATGCTGGAACAATCAGCGACACAGCTTTCAGGTTATCAGGCTATCACGGTGGAGACAGCTTCCTGCAAAGCACCCGACTCTGCTTTCCGGAGTACAGCTCTCGACTCTGCTTGGTCATTCTCGAGACTCTCCACACTACAACTCGCGATGCACTCGATGACACACGAGCACAGCTACTGACTCTTCGGTTCAGTCTTTCCCGGAGCTCAACACGTTCTCTCAACGATGCATTAACAGACTCCTTCAGTAGACTCGACTACCCACTCGGCACTCCCTGCCCGGCTGTCAACTCGATCGACTCCGCAGGGATTCACTCGCTAGACGAGACACACTCACTCTCGATAAGAGACACACTTACTCGATAAGAGACGCACACTTCCTCTCGATGAAGCACACTTACTGACTGCGGACCAGCAGGGTTTATATAACTTTCAGGTTGTGTTTGGAAACATTCTGGACTAAACCGGTAAGAATTCGTTCCAGAAGCTTCTCCAACCGTCCATGGTATACTGCCGATTTTGTCGCCAAATGGGTGATTTCTCACCAAATGTGGCAACACCTGCTCTTACTATTTTATGGCAACCCTAAAACTGCTTTGCGGGGAAGCCATCTCAACGCGCCTTTACATTTCGTAACACTATTATAGCTATAATAGGAGTTGTTTTCTCCACTGAAGATTGAGATTAGAATCTGCCCAATCTGGATTAAAAAATACGTTTTTTTTGCAGACATTATGCAGCTAAACGAAAGAAAGAAATCTATTTAATGATATTTTAAAATAAATTCAGGTACTTTATATTTATTTAGCAGCATACATAAACAAAAATATGTGCATTAAATTTTGTGATAATATGTCATCATATTTATTTAGTTTCAGAATTATGCCAGAGAAATTTGCCTGAAATTTTAAAGTATTATTAACTAATAATAAATAAATTTAGAGGAAAGAAGAACATTAAATGATATAAATAACATTAAAATGAAGTTAATTACTTAAAAATTGAATTACAATAATCAGTGCTATTTTGGCGAATATTAAACGTTAGCCTAGATGACTGATTACTATTTTTTTATTTTACTGCAAAATGAAAAAGAAAGCAGTTATTAAAATGAAAAAAAAAGTAGTTTAAAAGATTTTGCGGTAAAATCCTAGTCTTCGCTATGGCCTTTGTACAATATTGAAAACTGCCACCAACACCAAAATGACCGGTTTACTACCCAACACCTTCTTAAACAGACTAAGAGACAGAAAGAGGTAACTGTTGTTACTGCTCATCATAATATCGCCAAATCCAATGTATACTGTACATGGAGGTTAAAATTAAAAAAAAAATATGTATTGTTAAGACAAAAAAAACTTCTCTGCAACAGGAATGGTTCCATCCCAACGTAGAGCGAATATGCGTGAAATATCTGTCGCTGAAGCTTGTGAAGTTCGAAGGTCAAGTTTATCAAGAGTACATAAAACGAATATAGTTTTAAATTTTCTTAAACTTTAAAGGAAAAGAAAATATTTTTTGCACGAGTAAATTAATTAATAGATTAGCTATTCTGAGCAAAAAAAAGTACAAAAATCCGAGTATAAATTATTGCGAAAGTCAAAGAGCGTTTCTTCTTAACACATGCTTCACAATTTCCTGTACACATCGCAGAGGGAGAAATTCTTGCCATCAGGTTCCATCGCCAAATCCCTTGGCGAGTTTTTTCCTCTGCTTTCTAGCGGCACTATAGCAAACTGATTTATATTACGTCTATGGAACCTTTCTTTACATAGACATTCTTGCATTAGAACAGAGTACATGGGGGCTATTCTGGCCTCCATGGCACCGTATATTAAGATTAAACCGATTTTGTTGTGTACGAGAATGGGAAGGTATTTTCTTTAGTTCAACATAACCTGCAGATGCGAGTCTTAGGATTCTCGAGGTTACTGGAAACCAAACTTGCCGGAAACTTGCTTTGCCTTTCTAAAAGACAATCTCATTGGAGAAAATTGGCTCTATGCCAGCTGCCCCAATGACACTCATCCGACACATAATTTCGCTAACAAAGTTATCGCTTCCAACATTGGCACAAAACTCGCTTTTTTGGGGGATTGCAATATGATATTCCCTGACTTTTCTAGATTTTGACTAAAATATTTAAATTACCTGACTTTTTTGGTCAATTTTCGAATTCCCTGACTTTTTCCAGTTTTCCCGCTTTTCCTGGTAGCGTGGCAACCCTGAAGAGTAATAGTAGGAGCACACTTATTTTGAGGACAGAAATTGTTGTATGCATAGTAACTGGTGTGAAAGTGCACTGCAGCGCAGTAATAACAGTTTTCCATGAGTAAATGTAATACAGCATTAAAAGCCATCAGTCTGAATATATGATAAATGATTATTCAAAATACATCATAGTTGCATTGCAATTTTGATAGATTTGACTAGTACAAAAATTTATAGCAATCATATTTTGTTGATGTGTTGTTCTAAAGCACAATTCCCCCCCCTCCTGCCAAATAAATTGATACCCTTCCATAATTAAATTTTAACTGCACACATTTTAATAAAAATTCACTAACTTAAAAAGAATTAACAAGGAAAAAATAATAATAAATATGTATAATGGCACTGTTTCAAGAAAAGATAGTCTTAAGGAAATACTTGGTCCCACATTTTATCTTGTATAAACATTTTGCCAGTCTCATATGAATACAAGTATTTATCTCTCTCATAAATACAGTTTCACTTTTAAATGATCAGAAAACTGTGGAAACCCTCATACAGCCCAGCAACACAGCTTTAATTCTAGCATATTACTGAATATGCATGAAACCTCTTGTAACATTTTTTTCTTGTACATATTTTGATAAAGCTGTTTTTACTTTAAACATTTACAAAATAAAGTTACACACTATGCCAACGTGTATAATTACATAACAGCATATTTACTTATACACACACACACAAAAAGGGGGTATATCTGTATTCTCTGACACTGAAATTCTTTTGAAACTGAGTCGGGTTCATCATTTAGCAGTATGTATCTTGTGCTCCAAGTGTTCAGTTGACAGAATGCAACTATGATTTTGGAAGAAACTTTTTGAAAAAATTTTTGGGTATGTGCCACTAATTTGTTTTGCCATTGAGGAATAATTATTGCAAAATTATATTTCATTCCAAAAATATGTCTGGAAGTAAGCAAAAAATCTTTTAAAGAAATTTATTTCTTTGGAGCTGAACAATTGCTAAAAGGAGAAAAGGTTCACACTGCAAAAAGCCTATAAATTTAAATAAGGCAACAGTGAGAACCATTAAAAAATATTTTAGAATGGACCCCTCTATTTTGCATCAGTTGTTTGTCTTGTATAATGCAGTTTCACACTACACTGTCTAGTCTATGGACCTATCTATGTGTTATAGGAGTTATACCTATATTTTAAAATACTATATATGTGTTATAGGAGAAATACTTATATTTTAAAATATATTACACCTGCAATGTAAGTCAGAGAGCACAATTTTTTTAATGATATGTAACTAAAGAATTTAATTCATTCACAAGTCCTGATTTTACTCTCTTTATAAATGCATCTTACCTTCATTTTGGAATTATGATCAGTTGAGTTTCTTTACATACTGAAATATTTCCCAGGATATTTAGTAAATTTTAAATTATACAAACATGTATTTATATTTAAGACTCCCATACAATTCTTAATATAAATTAGATGTACTTCCCCACATAAACACACATTAAACCGCACATAAACTATATTTCCAGAAAAATTCATCAATCATCTTTAAAAACTAATGGCTATAATTCATTCATATTCTACATTTAATAAAATATTTTTATGACATTTCAAAAAACTTTAAACCATAGGCAGGAAGAGTTGAAAATTGTTTAAATAAAACAAATTTCCTCTTGCATATATTAGTTTACATTACCAGATTTTTTCTCATTAGTATTTGAACTCTGCAATTCTTTTTGCACAGAGCATGCAGACTTTTCTTCATCAGCAGATACATCAGCTACAGATTTCTTTAATTTTGCTTCCAAATCTAAATTAAGACATAAAAAAGGCTTTATTATTTTTAAAAAAATTAAAGAACACAAAATGGAAATATATAGTCAAATATTATGCATATATGCCTTTCATAAAACTAGAAAACATATAAAAAGAGACCAGATCCTGAATTAAGACTTGCAAAATAACAAGAACAATGCCTTAGTGTCTAAGTTAGCAGCAATGCTTTCTGTATAAAAACCAAAAACTTGCCATACATTCCTGCAATAATATGAAACTGGCACGAAAGAGCTTAAAAAAAATTTGGAATATAGAATTTTTAAAAAAAGTGATAGAACATATTTGACTGAAATTAAATATAACTGGAATGTATAATTATTATATAATGTCTCTTAAGGTTTAACACAATGAGGCACAAGGTTCTTAACTAAAAATCCACAGGAAAGAGATTTTACCACAAATTGCTTGAAATTCACACTTCTTTCCAAGCAAAAATAAGGAAGAAATACATAACTTTGGATTTTTGTAACAGAAATTATGAATACTTTATGTGCAAAATACAAACCTATCAATAACACAGTGGTTCTCATGGCTGGCAATGCAAGAGATTAAATCTTATTTCAGCATTTCAAGTTGTTAAGTTCTGTTATTTGCAATTTCCATGGTTAAATTGTTTATCATGTTTCAGCAAAAGTGAAATAAGTGATATAATAAGAAATAAAATACAGTGCAATCTTGGATCAAAAACAACTCATTTCAAGAACACATTATCTGAACAAAAAAGGGGGGAAATTAATTATAATTTAAGAAACAATCCTTAAATGATGAACACAAAACCAACAATATATATTTTTAAAGGTAATTTGTGACACATTAATAACACTCAGGGACTTCTGAAAACAACATTTTAATACTTTCCATTGCTAAACTTTCATCAACAAAACCTAACAGAAAGTGACTTACATGCATATGAACTCAAATTGGAAGAAATTATGGCCAGATAGAATTGCATGCACAGACTTTAAGTGCTCTGTCACTCTGGACTTCTTTTGTGATCTATGGTATATTGTACTTCCAAGCAAAACCAGGAATGTTTGGAACTTAACAATAAAGAACAGAAGAAGTCACTACAGGACAATAAAAATGAGTTCAGAAGAAAGAACTACAAGTTCAGAAGCAACAACAAAAAGCAATTACATTAAGAAATATCTTCAGAAGAAGAGCTAGAAATTGTAAAAAAGGATATGATGCAAAGTTTTCACATAACTAAATCAGTGTGATTAAAACAGTAGCAAGTTACAGTATCAGCTATTTCAATGATAAAGCCATTTCTCATTTTAGAAGCATTTTACAAGTAGGTAACAAATCACACTGAGCAATCTTGAGCCAAACAAAGGCTCAATGAGTCTCAAACCAAGTCAAATTACCTTTAAGGACAAAGAAAAGGTAAAAGAAGATGCCTTCTAAAAAGAATTGCCTAATGTTTTATGGACGGGGATGTCCATTCAAAAAAAGTAACATTTTCCTTATCATTTTTCACTTATGATGTACACTATCCTTCAAAAAGTTTTAAATTATCATGTTTTTGTCTATTTTATCTGTTTAACACTGTTCCCATCCTTTTTTGTTCTATATTTAATGACTTCAGTTTGGGGCTATGAACTTATGCAAGCTTATGTACAAAATACTGTCATAAAATTTAAATAAGCAATCATCTGTGAACCATGAACAAATAATCCATTTTAGGTTAATTCCTATAAGGAAAATTGTTTCAATTTACAATCGGTCTTTAAGAATGAATTAAGTTTGTTAACCCTTAGGGTACAGATTTATTTGAAAAAATTCTTCTGTTGACTTTTCACAAACAACATTCACTGAACTACTGGAAGAGACTTGCTCTTATAACCGATACCAATCATTTTTGCCATGAACAAGAATGTACATGTTTAATTTTGCCCTAGTCTGAATGCCGATTTAGATTCATTATCCATAACTTAGGCAAAACAAATGCATGACAAGTCGTCAAATGTACGTAAAGGGCTGATTAATCAAGATTTCACTGCAAGAATTTTAAGCAACAAAAGAGAACAGAGTAAAATTCTTAGATTGTTATATCGCAGAAAAATTCCATACACCCCTTAAAATACCCATACCTACATAGAATAAAATTGAGAAGTTACAACAGATTATAAATAATTAAGTTACTTTTTAAAGAAAGTAAAATCTGAAATTATTAACCACCCATCTACCACCCCCCCCCAAAAAAAAAAAAAAAAAACAACCCCACCTCTATCCCACATTTACTAAAATTCCGAGTTTAAAAGAAAAGTAATTCCAATTAATTCTTAGTTCAGAAATGCATATATCATGTGGTTAGATTAACTGAAAAAACAAAATAAGCACATATTGAGAACTCAACATAAGATGACTTAAAAGTTAGTTTAAATTCAACAGGAAAATTATACGTATTTTAATTAAGAATCCTTGGAAGAAAATGACTTTTAAAGCTGATTATTAGCATTTATAAATATGATTACTTCTAATACAACAAGTTTATATTTTGAAAATAAATATATAATGATGCACAGCATAACACCATCAAAGTAGAAAATTAAAAAAATTTCTTAAAAAAGCACAAACTAGATTTTACAGTGAAAACTGATGCCAATCTGAGCTTTATGACCCACAATTGAAAAAAAGTCTTAAAAAAGAAACTCAAATTAAAATGTAAAAGTAGGGATTGCTTTTCCAAAAAGGAATCCAAAAATTGTGCTTAATTTATTACCTTGCAAAATGAGACAGTCAAAATAATCAAAATCGCCAAATGTAAAACTTGAAGAATATTTTTAAATATTACAGCAAGAAATAAAAAAGTATAATTTTCACACAATTTTTACTAAAAAAATGCAACTTTAATAAATTACCATTAATTTAATTGCATGACATTAATGTTGTTTGTTTAAAAAATAATAACGAAAATTCATAAATTATCAAGTCAATTTTAGAAGCTGAAGAGTTCTCAAATCACTAAAATGTTAACTAATCACCAAACTGAGTAACAATGGCAGTATTCAGATTACAAAATACGATTTGTAATAAAGATATTCAAAAAATTCATGTGATAGCCCAAATATCTGCCCTAATAAATAGAAATCTCGTTGGCCAGATCTAGCAGAAATTTTACACTATGGATTTTTTTTTTTAACATCAAATCATATTTTACTAGATCTATAAAGAATTAATTTTGGAACTCATACACAAAAAGATACATAATCAAAATACTAAACAGTAGGGTGGAATTCTTTATTTGCTTACAATCCCTCCCCAAGAAATAGCATCTAATTATCTATGTTCCTTTGAATGCTAGTTGGATTTTGCTCATATTAGTGCAGTATTAGGTTTCTGAACATATTTAGGATACGAGTTCTCATTTTAAGCAGGGTTTTAAATAAAATAATAATAATAAATAAATAAATAAATAAATACTCTCAAATTGTGAATTTAAGTAAACAATTAAGTCCACTTAATTTTATTACTAGTTTTGTATACTGTCGTAACAGTACGTACTGTTTTAATTATTTATTTGTTTTAAGTGTTGGATTTAAGATAATAATTTTAAAGTGCAGTTTTCTGTAATTAAATCTGTGGCTACATACTTTGTATATACATGCTCATTTCTTATATACAATTGTAGATCTTTTGATTTTGAATCCAACAATGTTTAAATTTAGATAAAAATAGAGTAGAACTTCAAATACAGGCAGAAACCCTCATGACAAACTTTGATGACAATTTATTCACTGAGTTGTTTACAGCTGTTACTTTTGCTGTGCACTCATTACCAGTTTTTTCCTGCACATCTGGAGTAAATGTTTGAAGAAATTTGCATGAACCCATAGTTTGCAACATTTGGTGAAAGAAGTTGAGATCTTTGTGAATGCCGATAACCAGGAAGACTGGAAAAGAAGTTGAAAGCTGTTGTGCAAATGAGTTCTGCATGTTCCATCAAAACTAAGAACACAAACTAAATACTGCAGAGATGAGAAATAAAGCAGTAGTGAATGCTGCTGAAAAGACGGAAAAGAAAAACTTCATAAAAGTGGCAGTAGTAGAAATGAAAGAAACTAACTCATCAACCCTCTCTGAGATCAAGAACTCCATCTAAGCGAATGTTGTTCAGATAATGTCAGAAATGAGCAATAAGTACTACTGTCTGAGACATTAAAGAAAGCACTGCTGTTGTTAAGAGAAATTATTGAATGCAAAAATAGCCATTCAACAAGAAAAATTTGAAAAAGAGTTACAATGCATATCAAGAAATTATTACAATTAATGAGAGACTCAAAAGAAATTCAAAGATTCTAGAAGAAATTCCTGGAACTGGCTCATTGTGTAAATAATGCCCCAGTTCAACCTTTCATGATAATGCTCTATCTTGTTCTGCTAATAGATGCCAATTCAGTCATCCTTATCCCATAATTAAGCTTGTCATATGATAAGATATCATTGCAGAATGCATACAAATATGAAATGACTTTGCAAGCCAATCAATGGCACGCCATTTTCAAAGCCTTAAATCAGCTGCTTTATGAGGAGAAGCAGCAAGCATTCTTCACTTCCAGCCAGAAAATGATCAGATGTTGGCCCCTTAGTAATTGCTTTACAGCTGTGCTTCAAAAATAGCAAACTCAGAGATGCTAATTTAAAACTCAGTTCTTGAAAATGCAAATTATTTCAATGAAAAGTTAGCTATCTTCATCAAATTATCTCTGCTGAAGGTGTATGCACAAATGCAGAAGAAATCAAAGCTGCTTGTGACTGATGTTGCCCTCAAGACATTCATCAATACAGAAGCTTTCTTGGCCTTCCACTGAAGGTTTATTAGAAGTTTCCTAAAATCATAGAGCATTTACATCACACAACCTTTAACAAGAAATTGACAATCAAGAGCATGTTATAGCCCATTTTACTAAAAAACTCCCGAAGTCATGAAGACATTATTGCATAATCACTAGAAAAGTACTGTTAGCCACTGTCAAGACAATAGGACATTTCCATTATAAACACTATGGCTGCAAATTCCTCCGGTGCATCAAACACCTCTGGTGCCTCTTTATGTTGATTAGTTAATTTCAAAAATCCAGAAATCTAAGCACTTAGATGGATCCATCGGCTACATGAATAAGTCATGAAAATTCAATACTGCATAGAATCTTGCATGGGACTGCCAATAACTCTTTCAATAAAACCTTGGGCAGAAAAGTACAAATATTTTCGAAAGCCAATGAAAAATAAGCCTTTTAAATTTCCAGCCATTGGACAAATTAATGCACGCTCCATAAAATCACAGAAAATGATCTTTGCAGCAAGGAAAAGCTGAGAAAGGCCCAAATGGATGATCCTAAATTCAGACCAATACTGGAATATATGGAAACAGTGAATGTAAACCCAGATAACAAGAAATGGTGTCCAATGATGGAAAGATAATGGTTTCTATATGATTCAGCTCTCCCAAATTCACCCCGAACAAAGAACTAATTCATATCTGCCATATTTAAAGGACTATATAGGATTCTTGGTGTGGAAAACACTCAAGCCATTCTTTCACATCCACAGACAATATAGTGAGGAATTAAACAACATTAGACAATCTCTCCTCTATTTGTAACCTGGAGCCAGAAGGACTGTGACCAAAACCTGCCATTATTCCTGCTAGCTGTTCAGACGGGAATGAATACAGTAATCAGTATTGCTCACTGCTGTACTGAAGAGCTTGAGTTAAAATCTCATAGAAAGCATGGATGTTTTTAAATGTAAACTGTCTGTACTTCAAGAGGGCACTTAGAATACACAGTGAACAAAAATCCTCTTGAAAGACTGGTCTCCTTTCAGGGGGAGACGAGGGCTGGGAGACCAATGGACTGCATCCCGGGACGTTTTCCTCAGAATTCCATCCAGGGCAAATTCTCAACAGTTAGCAAGACCCAGTGATACCTAACATGTTTACTTAGATGCATAAATGCAAGCCTTGCTTTAACATGCACACTGTACAAATAAAAGGGGAGAAGGAGACAGTTCTGTATCTGCCATTCTACTGGACCGATTGACGAAATTCAAATTGTGTTTTCTATGTATTGAAAGTGCGACTTAAAATGTATATTAGATTTATAAATAGCATTATTCTAACATACATATTTTGACACAAAATCGGACTTTTTCTGAAATAACATACCCATTCTTTTCCACATTTCGATTCTATGACTCAAATTATGCCTAAATATTAAATTTTGTAAAATTTGGTGGGAAATTTATGGACAAAATAAAAAATTTGTCTTAGCACATTTCTTTCAGTTTGCGCCAAGAATAATTCAGTTGGCAAGCTTCTTAATTTATAACAACCTATTTTCCTTTGCCTTTTATCTTTGTGCACGAGCAGGAAAAAGTCATTGTTCATACTTTCAAATAATTTCAAAAGTGCATAAACCACACTTTCATTATTATCACTTATAATAAATACACCAAATTTCAAAATGTAAATTCATATATATCGTAGGATATTTTGAATAAAAAACTCTTAATTTTTTGCAAGTTTGCTTATATATACACCTACTTTAAGATGATAGCAAAAATTTTAGAGGCTATAATACAAAATTTTTTTGAAAAATTTATAAAAATTATTTAAAAATACAAAATTTAAATCATAAAAAACTGGCGATTTTATTTGGAATGAATCTAAATTTCGAAATATGAATGAATCAAACAAGCTTAATAAAAAAGAGCTGTTAATAAATATATATCAAATTCAATTAACACTGAGGATCTAAAATTTTGAGACGTAATTTTTTAAAAACGACTTGTTCAGTTTTTTTTTTTTTTTTTTTTTTTTTTTTTTTTTTTTTTTTTTTTTTTTTTTTTAAACTTGGCAGTCTGGCATAATTTGAGTGTAGAATTTAAATATGGAAAAAAAATTGGCATGTTATTTCAGAAAAGTCTGATTTTGTGTCAAAATACCTACATTAGAACAATGCTATATATAAATCTAATACATATCCTAAGTTGCTCTTTCGAGACATGAAAATGCAAGTTGAACTTCATCAATCGGCCCAGTAGAACGGAAGCTGTTCCATTTCTTTTCCACAGTGTACCTGTTATTCTTGCAAATATATTGGAGTGCAATCCATAAGATTACAGAAATTTCTTTATTGCAAATGGAGAAATTCTCGAAGTCCTTGGATATCACTGGTCGTGATCTTCACCTGCAAGTGGATTACTTTTTAGATGACCAGACTGGACTATTGAACTGGACTTCCATTATTCACCTAAGGAGTACCTTGAAAACTTGCAGAAAACATTCACTGGTTCATCAGGAAAATAATCAATACAGTGACAAACAAGATAAAGAGGAGATATAAATGCCAAAACTAGACATACACACTCCCACCCATAGACACATGCACTGACTAAAAAAAAAAAAAAAAAAAAAAAAAAAAAAAAAAAAAAAATCTTTTTCTAAACTACAAGTAAGTGCACTATGAAAGACATTACTATGATAATGAGGGTTAACAGTTTCTAGTCTTGGAGACAGCAATGACCAGGAAGTGCAATCTTTAAGGACAGGGTGATGTAAATTTCTCTAAACATATGAAACCTTTTTTGTGTATTGCTGTAACATCTTGTTTTACTTATTTTTGTTCAACTGTTCCATCTTATGTAAAAAACTTTAAGATGCAATCTTGGTTAATTGGATGTGCATATTCATTTACAGAAAAGCCTGGCCACAAAGGCTTTACTTGATTTTTATTCATTATAATCAGTATTTATTTCACATACAGTATTGTAGGTACTGTGATTCTAATTTCAATGATGTGTGAAAAAATGAATGCTTAATTGAAAAAAATAGCTCACGTAGAGCCTTGGCTGTAGATGGAAACTCTTCTGATAGGCACTGAAACATTTGACAATTTTTTGGATGTTTTAGAAAACAATAATTTTGAAACTCTATGAGCAATTTATTCCAGATTTTCTAAAAAAGCAGATGACATCATATACATACAATACTAGCCACTGGCAATCAATCAGTTGTTAGCTCTGAGTGATTCAAATAATCAGCTGAATTGCATTTTAGTTTATTCTGAGCAGTATTGGTAATTTACGATTATTTCTCTTATTAAGGAGGACTCACATAATCTCCGCTTCCTCCTCAAGTTACTTACTGCTATTACGTTTTCTGCATATTCTTATTAATTACAATAAATTATCAATTTCTTTCAGGTCATCCAGTAATATTAGGAGAAATCTCTATGAACTCACAGACTACTTAATTCACAACAATATTGTGTATATTAAGCAAAATAACAGACGGAAAGACAAATAGACGTCGGTCTTTCACACTTATATTTAAAAACACCTACGAAAAAAGGTTTTAAAAGAATCAATGGTTAAGTTTGCTAACATGCTGACAGTTGCTTTTATGAAATTTAGTAAAGGTGCTTATTTGAATGGAAGTATACATATGGTATAATAAATATGCTAAAAACTACTTACTCTCTTTGAAGTAGGTTTAGCAGATAAAGTAGCACCAATATTTCCTTCAATAAACACTATATGTACTATTCCAAAGAAAAAAATTAAGACAAAAAAGTGACATTACATTTGAAACTTTTTGTCAGATTTTCCATTACCAGAAAGAAATAAGTTAAAACCTTTTAAGAATATATGATTTTGTGTCAAAGATGCATTGTAGGTTTTGAGAAGATTATGGTACATCACAATACTTTTAGCAAACATATTCAAGATTTTTTTTTCTTTTGGCTATATCTTTATAAAAAAGGGGATAGCACATCCTTTTAATAATATACCCACAATTAATTTCTTTGGAAACAAAACTAGAAACTGATACAATAAAATGAACTACATTGATTTTTTATAAACGAATTATCCCCCTTAATTTGTTAAATGGCAGTAAATTTTTAATATGGGTTACAAAATATAAAGGAAAGTGACAATGGTTCTAATATATTTAAAAAATAATTATTAAAATTTATTATAATTCAATAAAAACACATGCAAAATAAGCTTAAAAAAGCTATTACCTTTTCTGAAGCATTAGAACATTTATTTAGATGCATTCAGAAACATGTCACAGAAATAGAAATTAGTTACATAAGAACAACCATGCTTACTTAACTAGCACAGAAAAGTTTTAGGAGAATTAAGCTCAGCATTGAAATATTTATTTAATGTGCCACAAAAGTATTATGAAAGAAATATAAAACTCCAACTAGGTGATATTTTTACATGGCATGAATAGGCATGCAATTATTGCACAGACACAAAAAAAGGTGGGAAGCATATTGTCTATCAGAATTCATTTTAAAATGAAACATCACTGATATAATATCTGTAATAGCATAGCTCTGAGTGAATTTTATCATATATAAAATCCAAGCTACAGTTATATCTCATTATCAACAAAAAAATATTATAGTACCAATCTCAGTGGCAGAAGAGACTGCACTTGACTTTTCTGCTTCCTTTCTCAATTCAGAAAGTTTAAATCTTTTCAATTTCTTTTTTGGTGAAGGTAAAGGTGATTTCCTTTTCCGCCTGCGTAATAACCAGTCATGTGCCATAAATTTGATACACTGCAATTTAGTTACCTTTCTAACATTTTGTTCCTCAATACCTAGAATCAGAAGAATGAACACTATCTAAATTAAGAATGCCAAGCCCAAATAAATATTCAAATGAAGAAAGCCAAATAGGAATGCATCTATTTATATATTTATTATTTTTTTATGCATTTACCAGACAGAGGCCATGATTTATTAACAACTGGCGGACTAGCATTTTTTTTTCATTTGATGTTATTAATCATATTTTTGTAGAGAAGTCATTTTCATTAATCATATCATGTTTGGCTTCTAAACACATGAGAGAGAATTTAAAAAAAAAAAATACTAAATCCATTTGCGAATCTCTTAAAAGTAGTACCGAGTGCCACAAAAATCCTTTAATCACATAACAGCACTAAGTAATTAAGTCAACTTTCTCCACACCAGATGAATGTCAGTAAACCTGAGCAACCATACGAGAAAAGTGCAGGTCCCATGGCATAAAATAACATTAACCATCTTAGTGGCATGGATTTGGGGATCTGCCTATGAAGACCTGCATTGAAATCGCATTTAATAGCTAAATGAGTATAATTATTTATTTTAGTTTCTGTTTTCATAAGTTTCCATTCATTAAGATGATACACTGGTCATCAAAATTAAAGGATAATAACAGAAATAAACATAACTGATATTTAATGAAAAATTATTATAGTTAACATAAATTATAATGTTAAGCAGTTGATTACTCAAAAAATATTGAAACTAAAACAAAATTTATAGAAATTGGAAAATGATGGGAAAATTAAGTCACCTCTTGTGAAAAACATTTTCCCTTAATATGGTGTATGGATACCTTGAACAGATATGCATACTTCACATTTTGATTTCATAGACTTTGCCAAAGTGTTGATCAAGTCTTGTGGAACTGCACGCCACTCACCTAAAAGTGCACTCTTCAGCTCTGGAGGGTCTCCGAAGAAATTAGGCGGACTGAAATCCAGCACCCTAAGGATCCCACACATGCTCAATACGGTCCAAGTCAGGTAAGTAAGGTGGTCAATCCATTCTAGTGATATCTTCTTCTGTTTGCAAGTATTCTGACAGGATCTATGCTCAATGAGACTGAGCATTGTCATCTAACAGAAAAAACTCTGGGTCAACAGCACCCTTAAACAGTCTAACTAGGGGTCCCAATACTTTGTCCACATAACTTCTTTGACAGGATCTAGGCTCAATGAGACTGAGCATTGTCATCTAACAGAAAAAACTCTAGGTCAACAGCACCCCTAAACAGTCTAACTAGGGGTCCCAATACTTCGTCCACATAGTTACAGAACTTCTTTGAAAGACATGCAGCTCATTGTGGCCATTTGCCATGATTCATGAAACCATTAAACTGCAGTCATGGAAACAGTACATTTCACAGACAAGGGAAGGCAAGTTGTGTGTTTCTTCCTCTCTCCAGATTAAAACACATATCTAGAATCACCGTTTAGACTATATCTGGACTAGCAATACTCGGGCACAGTCGTCTTGGCTCCACTGAACATGATGACAGTGTCAGTTTAAACGGGACCATTTGGAAGCTGCAGTGAGTGGGATACAAAGCACTGGTTTTTCTCGCATACAGTCCAATCTCATTTAGCATTCGTGCAACAGTAGAACGATTAATTTGAATTTCTGTCGAAACCTGAAGGTCTAGAACCAAATTCCTTGCAGTCGTTTTGCGGTTTCTTCGAGCCGACAATAACAGAAAACGGTCTTCTGATGCAGTTGTTGCTTTTGGTCGTCCTCAACCAGGCTGTCTATCAACTGATACAGTGTTTAAAAGCAGCTCCAATTTCTTGATATGACACTTAGATTGATATTCACATTTTGAGCAACCTCCATGAATTCTACCAATTATTCGCCACTTTTGACCTTCACTCAAATGATGCCTTTGAGTCATAATTACTCAATATGGATAATTCTCAGAAATCGCATTCACTTTAAATAACACTACAGACCAAAATTCCAACATGCTCTAATGCACATCACATTATCAATCACCGAATTTGCAAATTTCCACCACTAACATTACTATCGGAAGTGCAATTTTGAATTTAATTAACAAAAATAATTACAGCAATGGGCATTGGTTACAACAGTAATTTAATGAGCATATTTTTTCTCATTATCCTTTAATTTTAATGACCAGTATATTTACATCATTAATACTATAATATACACCAAGAGACCTAATGATTAGATAAAGGTGATCATGTTACTCAAGGGTTTAATATCAAAATAAATGATATGCTGAGTTTGGTTCTATCGAAATGGTGCATGGTGAATTGATTACTTCAAATGTGGATGTGTAGTATAATTGTGGACCTAATACAATGAATGGACTGCTGGCATACTCTGATATAAAAACTTCAGAAGCTGCTTAACAGAAGAAACGTGCACTATGAAGAAATAATCTGCATATACAATTATTCCTGAGTCTACAGTGTTTTGAATTTTTTATTATGACCTGGAGATGCTGAAAAATTATATAAATATTTAACTTCAATTAATGCAGACAAAAGTACAGTTCATATGAAACATTCTGTACTTGTCTGGAACTCCACAACAAAGGAAAAACACAATATTTGTCAAATGAATGGCATTAATCTGCTTCACCGAAAAGATACGCAATTCAACAGATTCCATCCCTCCACTGAACGTTTTTTCAATGTCACCCTATTCAAGAGGATTAAACTGAACGCCTAGTATTATATAACATTTCTGCCATTTCATCTGTGTCAAGCAGTTTGGGTAAACTGACCAGCATTTATGCACAATGCCATTACCTTCCATATCAATCTTACAATACATATTGCAGCTTTAATGAGGGAACTTGTACAGTGATGGGGGGGGTGTCTTAGAATGCCTGATACAATTCTATCATTTGATTCCAAAACTTAATACATGTTTGTATGGGAGATCTGCAAACAAGGAAGCTATTACAAACAAGAACAAAATGAGACCAGGTAGCAGACTGTTGTCATGATGTCACCTGCAATCAATGGTCTTCAATGTCATCTATATCATTGGAAAGATGTACAGAAGATCTGGGAAAATAATTGAGGGATATTAGCTGTTTGTATGTATTCTCCTGTACTTAACTGTAAATTTTTAATCATAAAACCATGCTTTTCATTTTCGTATTTTATTTACTTATTTATTTTTCCCCCTGCTCTTCAGTCTTCACCTACATCAAGCTCCTATTTCTTGGTAGCATTCATAAGCACATTCCATTTCTCTTCAAAAGCACATAATGATTTATATTTGTTGCATCTTTATCAGAAGTTATGACTTAAACAAGACTCATATTATTATTAGCTTTATTAAAAGGAGATTAAAGGGGATTTAAAGGGGATAAAATGAATCTTCTTTGTGGTAATTAATCTGTTTTCTCTCCTAGTGGGTGGGAATATGTACTCATCCATAATAATCTAATAACAATACAACATTTGAAATGATAATTTGGTAGACAAATTAGACTTTTGGACTATAATTACATCTTTGAAAAAATATAAAATGCCCATATGGCAAGAGATGTCTCTAATAAGTGGCATACGCAATTAATTATTCAATTTTTGGCTTGTCACTGCACAACAGGAGAAATATGATTGATTATTTCACCTGTTTCAATATGCACATTCCTAGAATTTTACTCTGATATAAAATTAACTCAATCATGGTAGAATTCAGGAGCTGTTTAATATCAAAGTATTATCATTCAGCATGATATTAAGCCTGAGTAACATTAATATTCTGTAATTTTATTTTGCAACATTTTTTTTCATTCAAAGCTCAGAAATAACGATATTGATTTTAATAGTATATAAGGTCATATCCTCCCATCCGAACACCCAAATTAGAAAAAAAATCTAACTGGAGGTGCAAAGGCAATAAAAATCAGCATAATATTAAAAAATTTACAAGACTAGTTTCAAATGTTTAAAACCTTTTTCAGCTGCAAGACAACAGATGACAAAAGAGAAGCCTGTGCTCGTGCATAACAATGAGAGGAAATAAATAAAAGTTATTAGCACCATTTACTGATAAAAACGAAGACAACTTTAACAAGTTGACTGCTGTGAACATTTCGTGTGGTTTGCCCATGGCGCCATCATGAAATTTTTTATGTAATGTACATTATGGTGAAATATTACCTACAGAAGATAAGGTTAGTCATATAACTGTGGTTAATGCACTTTTCATGGTCTGAGGTGCTGCAGACCATTTTTTGTGATTTATTATTCTTCAAACCATTATAGTGACAATGGCATTATTTAAAAATTTATCAGTATCCATATTTACTCTAATTATGTATTTTTATTATTGCCCACGATGTTAGTCACCAGTGGCCCCCTAGGCAGTCAATATATTAAAATTATTTCCTAAAAAGCTGAGGGTACAGACAGACTGAAATTGGGATCATTATCTAGCACTGAAAGACTTTTATAAATGTAAACTGCCTTTAGAAAGTCTAATTCACCAATGGAAGATATTTTTTGAATAATTTTGATTGCAGAAAAACGTAAAATGTAATCTTTTGACCAACAGTGATGGGCAAGAGAGGATTCATGTGTTTCTTTTTTCTTGGCATAGGCCTATGTTTCTTAGGACGACATTTTAAGGTTTTCTTAATGTGATCAATTTAAATTAAAACACACTAGAAAAGAATCCTATATATTATATATAGCTCAGGAGTTCATATTAGAAATGGGGTCTTGAACCTTTTCCTGGGGTCTGGGACAAATATGTCCTAAGCATTCACAACATTAAATACAACATTAAATCTAAGAAACGTAGTTTACTAAAGAGATATCAAATTTGCTACTTAATACAGAGTCAGAAATAGCAGAACCTGTCGATTTGTTTTTATGTTACCTAGTTCAATGAATAGTTGACTAAAGTGCTTCAATAGATAAAAAATTGTCTCTAATGTGAAAGTATGAAGCTTTGGATTTTATTGACAGATGAAAAAAACAACCCCAAAATTCAATTCCCGTAAAA